GCCGCCGAGCCCGCCTCCGTAGTACTCTGACATCAAACAATCACATTCAATCTAACGTACTCGTAAACGATATCATCTCATTATAGACAACGCCTTGTGACGCATACATTTCCTTTACTAACAATTGAATTTTACAATCCCTAATATACCATATGTATGAGATTGTCCTTAATTAAAAATCCATTACATGATTATGTCGACATTGAATTGCAATTTACATAGTAATTACAAAGAAATATTGGCCACATTTTACAAATACAACAAAATATGGATTGCCATTCAAAAGTTATCCTACCACAAAGGAAACACGGCTCTCATTTTTTAAAGTACGTCCAAACCTGCAAGGCAAAATAATGCACAATTAGCTCGCAACTTTACAAGTTCAGACGAACCTTTTTTCATCTAAATTTTCAAACTCTAATACAAATGAAGACTATGGGCGAAAGTGAATAGAACTAGGGCGTCAATAAATTTACGAGAGTCGATCAAATTACATCAAAATCAAGATAACATCATTCAAAAAGAAAAAATATCAAAATCTATAAACTCTCTTAGGGTCTAGATTTCTTTACCTAGTGTTGAGCATAGTTTGGGCCCTTATGATTCGTGTATACTCTTTACTAACCGTTTACACACATGTCTTGATATTTAACAAATATATCTGTCAGAGTCTGCAAAGTATTTGTTACAGATATATCATTAGTAAGCAGTGTTCGTTACTTGATTGAACCTCGTATTATCTAATTGTAAAAGCCCTTTAAAAGTCAATAATGTATTCATGCATCGTCTTATATAATACTGCACTCAAATGAAATAATTCGTATGCTGTAATATTATAAAAGCAAATAATAAGCAATGTTTTGCAAAATCAAACGATTTTTCACTTTATTAGTTACAATACTCTGTTAATACCTTCACCACACTCCACTACGCATGCGAATTACCCCTTGTCTTAAAAAAAGCTCAGATTTCAACTGGTACAAAACCCTAAAAGCGAATGTTTTGACGACATTTTCAACGACTTCTTAATCTAAAGAAATATCTGAAAATGCGCAGTACGCATATATTGGATAGTCACTATTGTAAGAAGTAGTATTAGACATCACATCACAAAAGCTTCTGTAATAAGATTAGAAATGTACCAATAAACACAACGTACAAATACAGACAAGAAAAACGTATTCGTACATCGCTTTAAAGACCTTATTATTTTAAATTGGCAATAGATAAAGTAATACAATTTTGCTATAGCAGTCAAATGCAAGTTTAATAAAGTACATAAGTATCGAAAATAGAGGTCGGCAGATTTTGGCACATTTCCGTGAAAACAGCTTCTAAGTATCAATATGATCGATTGACAACACACGCAGCAGAGCAGACTCAATACGCAATATCATAGTATGTAGATCTACAAAACAATAAAAACCGATAGAGAAAGGTGTGGTAACTATGAATGTGTTTTGGTCCCGCTGGCCGCGTCCCAAGCTTACCGGAGTGCTCTGTGGCGAGTCCCACGAGCCGGCGGTCGCCGAGGGCGCCGCGCCCCCCGCCACCCCGCCGCCACCTACGTACGTACACACGATACATTGTCCCACTGTCCCACTGTCCCACTGTCGCACCCTCGCCCCGCACTCGCTCCCTCGCTCCCTATCCACCTCAACTTACGTTCACTATTTACACATTACTTCACATCCTTGCATTGGCTTTTGTAAGTAAGACTTAATAAACAACAACAACGCTTCTTGATATTAGGTATCTTAATATAAATATGGGAGAACTATAACACATAATTCTTGACATATTAAAATTATTTCATAAGACATCAACTGACGATCACCTTACATAAATGTTAATGCGACATTAAGATTTATATAAATATACATTTATAACATTAGATATCTAAAACTGTCTTAACAAAGATATATTTGAGAAAATTGATAGTCGAGAAAAAAAAATAAGTAGAGAAAAGTTCACAGCATTAAAAAAAAAGAATCGATAAAGCGTTTTATTTACAATTTATCCACAAACAGATACAGAAGCTCGGTTGATGTTTTGCGAGAACCGAAATTCTTAGAAATAATAAAAACTAATCAAGTTATTGTAACACTAGAAAGAACTATTATTACCCCAGTTGTTAATACAATGCTGTCGTTAGTAATTTGTTAGTACCGGCATTGATTCCACAACGCTCTACCGCTCAATCGTGTATTCCAGCCATATTACAGGGAAACTCTACCACATTGACTCTTCATCACACAAAACATCATTGTTAACTGAAGATTTGTCCGAAAAATCTGTTTTATTTATAAGATTTAAATTTTTATCCTATTTTGAAGTGCAAATAACTTTAAAAACACATTAGTCAAGGTAGTAGAAAATGTTACAAGGGATTGGTGAAGAGATAAGAATTAGTATGAAAATGATTAGTGTATGGTTGTACTAACCGGAGGCGGCCATGTCGAAGGTGAGCAGCTGGTCGAGTTCGGGCGCGTGCATTGGCGCGTGCATGTCGGGGCGGG